CTAAACCAGCTCCGAGATCCTCGATCCCTAATCATATGGAGATTTGGACTAGATTAATAGAAGGACAAAATTTAAAATTGCGATGTCGGTGTTTCGCCACGTTTTTTTGCGGTGATGCGATGTTTGTTATTTTATCCGCGGTGTTGCGGTGTGGACAGTCCTCCAATGTCCCCCTTATTACCATACCTTAAACCCGTACGGAACAGTAAAACATTTCTTCACGTAATTTATAAATCGAAAAAGAAAACAAACTTGTTATGCATTCTAAACAACGTCTTTCAATATAGCAAGATTCGAACACGAAAACGAAATGCCAAGAAAAGTATTAAAACAGAAAAAAATTTGGAATCCAGTCCTTTTTGGAATCCGGAATCCACTGAGCTGGAATCCGGAATCCAGTACTCGGAATCCGGAATCCACAGGGTGGAATCCAGAATCCAAGACTGTCATGGATTCTCTTACATGGGGCGAGGCTAGCGTACTTTAGTTTATGTTTACGTTTAGTTTAGGTTTAATAATACTTTGTCGTGCTAATACAGGTAAATAAATTACAGAAAATACAAAAAGTGCATGACTGGAGAATAATTGGGGGGACTAAATTCCCATACAAAGAATATTCTCCAATATTAAACATACTAAAAATTAAGAAGTAAAATTTAAATGTGGCCCAAAGCCAAGCTAATTAAACTGCATACTAAAATTGACACTAAAAATTAAAAGAAGTAAAATTTAAATACGGCCCAAAGCTAACCCAATTCAATTGCATACTTGTAAACTCACGAGTTTCACCTGATTTAAATTTTTAAAAAATTGTTGATTGAGTGATCGATTGATTGATTTATGATCAATTTTGTGCTACAGCTCTTGTAAGCCAGTGTTAAACTAGTTTTCAGGGTGAATACCCTGGCAAAAAGCTAACCCTAATGAAGCTTAAAATGGGGCTTGTCCTCGTTCCCAACTCGTTAAAAGGTGTGTTCACACTGTAATCAATAACTTACTTACTTTAGCATCGTTGATACGCGCTTCACGTGTGGCATTTCCACTGGTAGGTGACCAGCTTAGCCTGAGAAAACAACTGACATTTCGCGAAGTTACCACTGCAGGTTTCCCGCTCCCGGGAAATGACGTCATAGAACGAGAGCAGAAATTCCATACTGATGACTCGTCACTACCAAGATCTGAGTAGTACTTTTGATTGGTTAAAAATTTGCTTCAACCAGTCGAAGTACTACACTACCCGGCTCTGGATAGTAACAAAAATAAAAATCCATCCCCGATGGGACCCGAAGCAGCTTTCACTACGAGGGTGTGCACGTGCAACCTTATGGATTGAAATACCTTGCACAAAACTCAGGGTTCGTACAAAGTCTTGAATTCTTCAAAAAGACTTGAAATTTTCTCAGCAATTTTCCAGACCTGAAAAAATCTGGAAAGTGGAGATAAAGTCTGGAAAAATAGTAAAAAGCCTTGAGTTTTTTCTTTTTCAATGCTACAACAACAAGTGCCTTATAAGTGACAATTTTTTCGTTTCGGTCAAATCGTATTCAATTTCCCCCATATGTTTGCATCCTATCATGAAAAAAGCTTTGTTCCTGCGTTTTTTAAGGTCTCTAGCTATTGACCACTGGCCTATCTGATAACCTTGAGTCTGGAAAAAGAAATTATTGTCTAGGATAAAGGTCTGGCAAAGTATTGAATTTATTTTCTGGTATATGTGTAAAGCACGAACGGTAGTTGAAAAAAGGATCAGCTCGGGATTTTTAATGAATACAGACATTCATGCCAGGTTTATCCGTAACGATATTTTTCTCAGTTTTTAACTGTTGATTTACTAACCTGAGTAACTGAAATACTTGAACCTGACGTTTCGACCTTGCCGTCATCGTACTACGATTCCGAATCAACGGAAGTGATCGTTGCAGTAACTTTTATAAGACCAAATTTATGGATTGTAGTAGTCGTTTAGGGGAAAGTCCAGAGATTTTTAGAGTCGCGGTTACGGCAAACGGCAAACATTAGTAAGACCAAAGGTGACATTCCCTTGAATCCGGAAATCAACAGGTACAAACTTTGAACATAATTGTTATGGTTTATTAGTAAACTGATCGACATGAGACTACTTACTTTTTTGTGTAGATACAACAAGGAGAACAAATACAACAAGTAAATCGGCTTCTGACGAAAACTGAGCAAGAGTGGAGCAGTGATAAGGGCACTTGCCTTCCTTCTCCCGGGGGTGGGAGGGGAGGTACTCCCTATAATTGCCTTGAAGGGGAGGCTTCGACCTTTTTCATGCTTCGGGTGTATGGAAGGGTAGGTTTGTTCATGTTTCTCTGCCTTGCCGAGAGGTTTTTCTCTGGGTGCTCCGGTTTTCCTCTCTCTCCAAAAACCAACGCTTCCAAATTCCAATTCGACCCGGAACGCAGGGACAAGTTTATACGAGTTCTTAACAACTTCTTAGTGCTCCACAGGTAAACAAATTGCAAATTACAATGTTGTCTATTTATTTTCCCAGACTGATACCTTGGTCACGTAAAAATTGACTTTGCCGTTTGATGTGAGTGTGATTCTAAATCTCTCTGATATTATAGGAAATATTCTTTGTTAAAGAGCAAATAGATAATTAAAGATAAACACTAGAGGTCTTAACAACAAAAGGCTCAATAAAGTTTTGCCGTAGAATTTGCTATCCCAAATACGCTTTATTTTTAAAAACCTGGTTACATATAGATACAGATTACAAATGAAACATCCATGTGCGACCTTCTCGGATACGCGACATACTTTTCAAACTGCTAAAATAGGTGTTCCTACTCAAAACACTACTGAAAACTCGACCACCAAATCTTGGCATTTTATATACTTTAGATTACATATGTACACATTACAATGAAACATGCATGTGCGACCTTCTCGGATACGCGACATACTGGTCAAACTGCTAAGAGTAGTTTTCCTATTCAAAGCACTACATGTACTGAAAACTGGACCACCAAATCTTGGCATTTTATACAGCTTACATAGTTACAGATTACAATGAAACCTCTCTGAGCGACCTCCTCGAATACGCGACATCCTGTTCGAAGTACTTAAGTTAGTTTTCCCACTCGAAGCACTACTGACAACTGGACCACCAAATCTTGACATTTCAGGTGGATACTTAAAGTAAGTACTACTCTTGACTTCTATACTAACATACTAACCTATGCTCAGGCACTATGGATATTATACAATGAAATAACCTTTAGTTTACAACTGAAATGGCTAGTTTGGAGTTTGGTTTCGATAGGCTTTTAGTTGACTTAGGGCCTGTGTACATGGAGGTGGGGCCCTCAGGTAGGCGAGGTAACCCGCTTAGGTGGGGTAACCCTCCTGTCCATATAATCTATCATTTTAATTTGATCAGGTTCACATGATAGGTGGGGTGACCCACCACATTTTACCTCACCTTTCTGGGGTCCCCCACCTCCATGTAATAAGGCTCTTAAGTCAAACCTTATTTCATAATGCAAGGTGCAAAACTACTACCTCTATGTTCCCAAAAGCTCTAAAATATATACAATTGTATTAAACTATAAACCTTGCAGTGGTATTTGCATTGTAATCAAACTACAATTTGCGATTCAGAATCTCGTTTACGTGAAAAGTATTTTTTAGTTGTAGCCTTAGAGACTAATTAAGGAAGTAAGTTAACAAATTACCTAAATAGATAGGGAAATTATCTAATCCTGATGTTATTTGTGTCGCAACTACAGTTGTATCATTTTCCAAGCTACCTATGAACTATGTACGTGTGTGTATGTGTGTGTAGTGTGTGTGTGTGTGTTTTGTGAGTCACATTAAAACCAGCGGGAAAAAAATAATAAGACCGCCAAACAAGTCAGTTCTCTTTTAATTCTTCTAGTCTGGGTTATGTTCGTATGCTGCATGGATTGACCCTCTACATTTTTCGCCAGAGAATACTTCATTTGACTTCTGCGGAAGGGCTGTTTGGGTATTCCATGGTGTATCGTTAGTGTAATACCTGTAACCGTAATGTATAAGAAACGTAAAAATTAGTAAAACACATAATTATATTCATTTCAAAAGACTCCAGCTGGGTAAGTGGCATTTAGGTTCATTTTACTGACATGGAAGAGGGATCCTCTTAGTTTATCGTGAAGGAAGAGGTTTACTTATTTAAGTTTATCTCACCGCTAAAACTTTCCGGCCAATTATTGGCATCATAAATGAAACTCAGGGTGCACAGCTAAAGTAGGTTTGAAACTTCTTTCCTTGATGACCTTTGGAATCTCAGTCTTTCCTCTTTGGTCCAAGTTTAGAACCACTGTACTGCTGTACTTCAGTCAGTGTCCGCAAAAAGCCCTCTAGTTACGGTCAAGACCCCATACAAAGTCCACAATTTGTAGTTTTCCTTGTTTTCGATCAATTCTCAGATCTAGATCTCCACCATAACATGATTTTTATTCCGATTATCTTTATATCAAACAAAAACTACCTTAAGCTGTTTGTTTTGGTTTCATTTCTGGAATTCATATCCCATTATATTCAGAAAGAAAACAGTTTGCCAGCAAACCCTTATTCATATTGAGCGGTTACAAATGATACAATAATATTAAATTATTTGTGCCTCATATACCAGGAAAAGGAGAAAAGATTTAAAATCATTCTGTGTTACTGTAGGAATACGGGGTTTTAGAGTTTTTTTAAATGCAAAGCCCCACATATACATAGGTTGTGATTTTGACTGATAAGTACAGAAGTGGGGTCGAATATTTGTGGTGTTTAGTATTTTCGATGTTAAAAAGCGGTTGATTGATATTTTACCTCAATCATAGTAAAATCTGACCTCAGGCGTAGTCAATAATGTGGTTTTTAAGGGTAAATACTGCTTTTTATTTAGTACTTAAAAGGACGAAATGTACCCAAGTTGATAAAACTGCAATAGGATAAGACCTGCAGATTTCCTATGGCCCTAATTATCAGAAAGCAAATTACCTTCACTTTTCTTCACCAAAGTGAAATGACACGTCATCCCCAATCAACATGAAAGGTGCCCACTGCCTCACTTCAGGGAAACCGTTATTTCGCATCCACTTCATGGCCCGGTGAAGACATTCACTTGCACTTTCTCCTTGGACAAGATTTTCGTAGAATCTTCTCATGAACTGCTCTGTTGCATCGTCTTGTAAGTTCCCCAATGCCACCATTACTGATCGTGCACCCGATCCTAAGAATGCTCGAGCGATTCCAACAACGCCTTCTGTTTTGATCTGTCCACTTGCGGTATAGGGACAGCTAAGGACCACCAGTTTGGCTGACAGTCTAACTTGTGAGATGTCGGTCATTGTCAGTAAGTAGTCTGCTTCATGTGGAGGACGCATTGCGGAGTCAGGAGGGCTAAGAGCAATTTCTCCTTTTTCGGCATAACTATGAGCAGCGAAATGTACGAGACTCACTGGAGGTATTCTCTGAAGAACTGCCTGCTTTGTTGCTTGCTCTCCTATTAAAAGGTGAGATTCAGGTAGTAGTCTTGCAATCATCTCTGCTTCCGCTTTCGCGCCAGGCAATGGACAGAGATACCTTGACTCTCCCTTGAAATACACATCCCTCACGCTTGGCTCACCAACAATCAATGCACCAGTTTCGCTGTGAGAGCCCGCTGGACTGTCCAGAATGAGCTTGAGAGTCGTCAAAGAAGGGACAATGCGTATCCTGAAAGTGTCTGATAAATATCGGTTGCTTTCATCATGTAATGCTGCAAACGGAACTTGGAATAAGCAGCGATCAGGAACAACAATGATTTCAGAGCCTTCGAGCAAGTCACTTACGGGAGCAATCAACATGTTGTAAACCTGAAGAAGTGTTAGCGGTTCAGGGTCTGTGTTTTCTTCTTCCTCGCATTGCTCTTGAGGTAAAACGTGAACGTTTCTTAATAAGCTTTCCTGTTTGAAAAGGTCTTCCACAGAGATTGTTCCGTGCTTGCTAACATAGCTTTCACAAACTTTCGTTTTTCGGAAAGCTATCGGCTTGCTTTGTTTTACAGTCCAAAGAAATATATCTTCACCATGGTAGGAAATGTATAGACACGTTCTGTTACTACTTTCTTCGATGATCTTCAAGATGCCAGCAAACGATTCTGGATTGAGAGATACTTCTTTCTCCACAAAATACCGATCTGATACTAGGTCTGCTAGAGCTCTGGCTCTTCCAAGCTCAACAACGTGTAAAGCCTCATAGTGTTTCCCAGAAGAAGAACACAGTAAACTAAACAGTCGATAGGGGGACGCGTGCTCATCAAAAAATAATATCTTGTATCGATCATTGTTTCCTAGAAACTTAAGCATTCTCTCGCACTTCTCAATGCTAGCAAGGAGATTCGATAACGCTTCAGATGCGTTTCCTGTTAATGCTAAAGAACAATAATTTAGGTTTAGGTGACTAGAAAACTGCACTTCAATGTCTCCAGTGTCCTTGCCAATTTGAATAGCTTCTTTAAAATATTCTTCAGCCCTGGCATGTTCACCGATAGTTAGACACAAAAATCCAAGTTTTCCGTAGCATGTCGCTTCTCCGCGTTTGGCGCCAATTTCTGTCTTGATGGTAAGTGCTTTATGAAGATATTCTTCAGCCTTGGCATATTCTCCGACCGACTGAAACACGTTTCCTAGGCTTATGTAGCATGTCGCTTCTCCGCGTCTGGTGCCAATTTCTGTATTGATGGTAAGTGCTTTATGAAGATATTCTTCAGCCTTGGCATATTCTCCGACCGACTGAAACACGTTTCCTAGGTTCATGTAGCATGACGCTTCTCCGTGTTTGTCGCCAATTTCTGTCTTGATGGTAAGTGCTTTATGAAGATATTCTTCAGCCTTGGCATATTCTCCGACAGACTGAAACACGTTTCCTAGGCTTATGTAGCATGACGCTTCTCCGTGTTTGTCGCCAATTTCTGTCATGATGGCAAGTGCTTTCTGAAGATATTCTTTAGCCTTGGCATATTCTCCGACATAATGAAACACGTTTCCTAGGCTTATGTAGCATGTCGCTTCTCCGCGTTTGTCGCCAATTTCTGTATTGATGGTAAGTGCTTTATGAAGATATTCTTCAGCCTTGGCATATTCTCCGACAGACTGAAACACGTTTCCTAGGTTTCCGTGGCATGTCGCTTCTCCGCGTTTGGCGCCAATTTCTGTGTTGATGGTAAGTGCTTTATGAAGATATTTTTCGGCCTTGGCATATTCTCCGACAGATAGAAACACGATTCCTAGGCTTGTGTAGCATGACGCTTCTCCGTCTCTGCGACCAATTTCTTTCGTGATGGTAAGTGCTTTCTGAAGATATTCTTCAGCCTTGGCATATTCTCCGACAGAATGAAACACGTTTCCTAGGTTTCCGTAGCATGTCGCTTCTCCGTCTTTGTCGCCAATTTCTGTGTTGATGGTAAGTGCTTTCTGAAGATATTCTTCAGCCTTGGCATATTCTCCGACGGAATGAAACACCTTTCCTATGTTTATGTAGTATGACGCTTGTCCGTGTTTGTCGCCAATTTCTGTCGTGATGGTAAGTGCTTTCTGAAGATACTCTTCAGCCTTGGCATATTCTCCGACAGACTGAAACACGTTTCCTAGGTTTATGTAGCATGACCCTTCTCCGTGATTGTCGCCAATTGCTGTCTTGATGGTAAGTGCTTTATGAAGATATTCTTCAGCCTTAGCATGTTCTCCGACAGACTGAAACTCGTTTCCTAGGCTTATGTAGCATGATTCTTCTCCGTGTTTGTCGCCAATTTCTCTGTTGATGTTAAGTGCTTTCTGAAGATATTCTTCAGCCTTGGCATATTCTCCGACAGACTGAAACACGTTTCCTAGGCTTATGTAGCATGACGCTTCTCCGTGTTTGTCGCCAATTTCTGTCTTGATGTTAAGTGCTTTCTGAAGATATTCTTGTGCTTCCTTGTATTCACTTTTTTGGTAGTAGAGTCTTGCTAACATCCAGGCTGTGTCACCTTCCTCCTTTTTTCTGTTACATTTACGAAGTAGGACTGAAAGTTTTTTGCCAGATTCTATAGCCGGAGAAAGTTTGTAAATAGCAGCATAACCATGACAGAGCCTATTGTACAGCACCATACTGACTTTTCTGGCAAGGTCATATTCTTTTTCTAAGTGTTTGCTATTTAGGAATGTTAAGCACTCTTTCCACAGCACGATGGCTTGGACAACTCGTTTAGAGTTCGAAAGAAAATCTGCAGCAGTCATGCAGGGGTAAATCGATTGTAGAACCTTGTCCATGAGGGTCTTGCCTAAAACATATAATTAGGGTAAAAGCAAAACCAGAGTCAAGATTATATCTTGAGAAAAAATAAGAAAGGCAGTTCGAAATGTTATAATAATTTAGCCTGTGAACATCCTCTCTGTTTGGGAAAAGGGTGAAAAAATCGCGAGGAGAGGGAAGGGAAAGGGTGAGAGCCTGTAGACAAACATTTGAGGCCGCTATTCCGCCTTCTTGTCTTGTACGTAATTGCCGATCATCTGTCCGCAAGATCGTTATCTGACACTTGGTTACATTGGAATTTAATCACTCTCGCGTGTAAAAAGGGGGTCGGTAGGCAACAAACAACTTTTGTCTCGTGCCAAATACTGCTTTTTCCAATGCGTGTTTTCTCTGGTGGGTAGATTATGCTCTGGAGGGTTTAGTTTAAACTAAGAAAATGTGATGTTTGCCGCTTATTTCATAATGAGAGTTCGTGACACGTATCTTGATTTTCTGCGGCTATTGTTTCTGGTCAGCTTTATTTGCTCTCTGGTACAAGAACATTCATTGCCGCTAAAAAAAAGCTCAACAGTCAAGCGCCAGAAGACGCCATGTTAAAGATCAGAAGACCCGTTTACAAGCGATTATTTAAATCAAATCGCGTGCTACTTGCCGACCAAAAAAGCGATGTAAATTAAACCTGTCAACAGTCAGTGTTCTCGCCAATAGGAAGCAAATAGGAGCTTGCATCAGGATCTGATGCTTACCGGGTGCCCTGGAACGACGGCCTTAGATGTTTGTCTACAGGTCCTCACCCTTTCCCTTCCCTCACCTTGCGATTTTTTCACCCTTTCCCCAAACAGAAGGGAGTTTAAGATACGGCGACTACGGACTACGACTACGGTTAAACTTTCTACTGCCCACGATCAAAACCACGTGACTGTTCATTTTTCCCACGTAGTCCTGCTGCTACGGTGAGTTGTTGAGCTATTTCGCGTAGTCGGGACTTCTAAATGAGCTATTACTATTTCTGCCTATTTCTTTAATATTTGACATAAGTATGTGTAACCAAAACTTTGTTCACCAATTTCACTTGAAGTAATTGCTTCCTTGATCAAGTATGGAAGAATTTGTTCATTGTTCTAAAGATAAGATCACATGCAAAACTGACTTGCATTTTTGTGAACTGTGATGAAAACAGGAAAATCTTTGCGTGTTGTTTTCCGCTCCGCCTCTTCTCTCGTAGTCTACTGTCTGTAGTGCAATCTTATCGTTCTATAATTGCACGACTCAACCCAGTGCTACAAACAAAGGACAACCCTCGTCCAGCCGTAGTTCGTAGTCCGTGGTCTCCGTATCTTAAACTCCCTAGAGAGCCAGTTCACAGGCTACATAAAACGTGATAATTTCTTAATAAGCTTTCCTTTTTGAAAAGGTCATGCACAGACATTTCTCCGTGCTTGCTAACATAACTTGTAGAAAGTTTCGTTTTTCGGAAAGCTATCGGCTTGCTTTGTTTTGCAGTCCAAAGAAATATATCTTCACCACAGTAAGAGATGTATAGCCGGCACGTTCTTCTACTACTGTATATCTCTGATGACCTTCAAGATGCCAGTAAACGATTCTGGGTTGAGGGATACCTCTTTCTCCACAAAATACCGATCTGACACTAGGTCTGCTAGAGCTTTGGCTCTTCCAAGCCTCGATTTCTTCACCCTTTTCCCAAAAAGTGAGCTTGTTCACAAGCTATAATAATTAGCCTTTGGCCGTTTAGAAACAAGTAGGAAATCATTTTATCTTACAAAAATATAAGCTTTCTATTTTAAATATAAATAGCCTGCAGTGCAGGCGTTTTTTGGGTGGGCGAAAGCTTGTTCATGTTCGTAATGTTGTAGCCGCCATATTTGATTTTATGACAGAGGAGGATTGGGGAGAGTTGAAATAGTAATCGCTTAGGGTAGATGCGAGAGCGAAAGAAGGAAAGGGAGGAGAGGGAGAGGAGAAAAAATACAAAAATTATGGCCGTTCTAGGGTCAACGTTTGGGGTTTTTAATACCTGTGTACTTGGCAAAGAAAGTTAAGTTTCAGTTTTATTTCTGTCGGATATTGCATTTAAAGCCCTTCTAACTATCGTATGCCTTGTTTCTGCAGCTCGATCCCGCGCAGGCTAACTAAACCTGTTCTGACATTTTGAGTGTTAGCCGATTCACACATCATTTTAAAATTTCTGTTTGCGGCCAATTTATTGTTTGGGCCATTTATCTATAGCCCGGGTTTTTTAGCATTTACACCAGTACAGTTAAACCTCTTCACAACGGCCACCTTAGGGACAGAAAAAAGTGACCGTTGTAGAGAGGTTTAAACAAGATTCGGTGTATGGACTATCCACCAAAAAAGGTGGCCGTTGTAGAAAGGTGGACTGGACTTCTAATCTTTGTGTTAAAAGCAGACACAAAATATTATCTTTGAAAGAAAATATATTCTCATAGTTGTACAGTTAGACCTACGTTTTACACTGTTTGCTTACAAAAATTTTGCTGATTTGATCCAACAGGATTTGGCACCTTTGTTTTATACATTGGCCCTTGCTATTTATTTACCATTTTCTTACTTTGTTGTGCAGAAAACTAACGGAATGGCGACAAAAATTTGACAAAATTTTCTCAGGATCGATAGAAATAAACGCACTGCCGGTGATTTCGGAACGTCTAATTTTTAAAATTTTGTTTTACAAGCTTTTCTGGACACAGGCCTGCCCAGAGGGAGTAGGCACGAACGGGACTCATAGGTCCCATGCAAGGTGCCATCCCTACCCAATCCCACAACCCGTAAAGGTGGGCCACACCACCGGGGTCTACGTCCCCTACTCTTTTCAAACAGTAGTGTGGGTTTTTGTACGTCCCACAAGAACAGATCAGTGAAAGTGCTGTGAGACGGGGATCTACTAACGGTTTTTCGTCCTTATCCGAGGAGACTGGAAAGTCTAACCATTTGCAAATGTCATTACAAAAGCAGCACTTTCTTCTTAGTTATTTAAAGACCCTAAGTGTTGGTTCGACCGGGATTTGAACCCGCGACCTCCCGCTCAGCAGACCGGCGCTCTCCAGGGTGCGGTGTGTATTTTCCTGGGGAGCATGCCCCGGACCCCCACAGATAAGCTCCGATTTCACCATTCGTTGAACTCGAGCTATGAGAGAGCTGGCCTTACAAATAAAGATGAATAAAAAATGTGCTCCACAGTCCCTGGGTCCATCTTAAAGCTCTGACTGAGAAGAAAAGTTGCTCCTATGTAATGGCCAACAACTTATGCCGGACCATTATATCTATTTTTCAAACTTGATCACTAAATAAGCTCATAATATAATAATTATATAAAGAAAAAACAACAACAACAACAACAGCAAGTGACAACATTATCCAGCACCCTTTGCTGTTACAAACTTCAAACCTTCCGCACCAAATTTTTTTTTGATCAGTATACCCCTGAGTTATCCAAAACAGTGTCCAAAAGGAAGATCAAGCGATGAGTCAATAATTTTTTGGTCATGAATTCTCCGATTGAGTGCTGTAGCGGTTCATGTTTTGAGAAGACTGTTAACCAGCGGTGAAAATGCATTGCTTTGTTAGTAAAAACAACACTCGTATTAAAAAGAGCTGCAGTTACCCATAAATAGCCATCGGAGGTCACTGAGTGGGCCAAAAAAAAATGTTTGCAGAATGATACAGTCGGAAAAATAGTTTACACAGACAAAGATATAGAAATAAATTGTTTGTACCCCTAAATTTTCATCACCCCCCACTATAAAAAGAGAGAGGGGGTCACTGGGCGGGCCAAAAAAAAAAGTTTGCAGAATGATACAGTCGGAAAAATAGTTTACACAGACAAAAATATAGAAATAAATTTTTTGTACCCCTAAATTTTCATCACCCCCCACCCCCCCCCCCCAAAAAAAAATGTTTCATCCCTTATCTGAAGTTTCACATTACTGTACATCAGGGAATGGTCAGTGTCACAGTCAGGGCTGTGAGGGCTGTGTGTAAGCTTATCCTTGATGTGTCAGTGATAGGATAGTTCGCCTTGTTAGGACGTGATTGAGCTTATGCCAATGTCTTGAGTAAGGGAAATCGAATATCTACTATTTCGATCAGATTATGGAACCACTAACCGAGTAAAAATAAAGCCAAAGAGGTTGATGTGTCTCTTTTATGTATGTGCATGCGTCTTTCTTTAGGTGTATTTTATTTACCTCTTTATGCGTTATCTCTACTCTTATTTATGTGATAATTGTCAACTACACTACCACATACACTCAAAAAAAAAATTGGGCTAACGTCCTCTTTTTGGGCGATATTCACTCAAAAAAAAAAATTGGGCTAACGTCCTCTTTTTGGGCGATATTATTAGTAGTACAGTAGGGATAAATTGGTCCCTGTTTGCGGGGGAATCTCTTTAACTTGCGGAAGAATACATAAGCGCCGATGGCGTCATAGCCTTTTGTCTTTATCGAATGGATAAGATGGCGTCACGCACTATTTTTAAGTGGCTTAACCCTTTTAATATGGGACGGCAGTGAGGCTTATCGTAGACTCGGGCCTTTTTAAAACAGGAGAAGCAACCCTTAATAGTTAATGTTATTTCGCTAACGGTTCAGTGAAAACCTAAGTAAAGGATATGATAATTTTGTGTTGGGCACTCAGTATCTTACCCCGCCCTAGTCGAGCCACAGGGGGACCATACAATTTGTATAAGAGTAGGGTTTTTTAAAGTAAATAATATATTTTTCTCAGTATAGTGATGTATATTGAAATGTAAGCACAGTTCAATGAAATATAAACGTTAGAGTGTTTTGGTGTATTGTCCAGCAAGGGATGCTTGAAGAACGCATAAACTGCACGTTGTCATCAATGCTGAAAGCACTAGCGGAGGAAGGGTAAATAACTTAGAAATAAAACTCGTTCACATTAATTGTACAAAGCAAAAATCAGCAGGTCCCTCCACTTGACGTCTATTTCTCCCAAATTCCGTTCATTCTTTCAC